TAGTTGCCTTTCATTCTTTTAACTTTACTGGAAAAAAGTTACATTTTCTTTTCAGATTGTATTTCCCCAAGTATAAAACAGATGCATTTGGATAAATAGATTTGAAACATATTATTAAATTAAATGAAGAAAAGGAAACATAATGAAATAAAATCAAAGTATCTGAAAAAAAATTTCTATTCACAGGCCTGCAGTAGAAATCTAATGTTCCTTCTCTATTTTATCCTGGTATTGAGATGACAGGTATTCTATCATCTTTCAAAGTACCATCTGAGATGCCTCTTGTGATCTGAGCAAGAATGGGTGTCCATTCAGGAGAATCAATTTCAAAATCCAGTTACAGGTATTACATCTATTCCTATATGGAGCACACTGTTTGTGCCTAGTACATTTATTACCATTATTACAATAAAATTAAATAGTGCCATCTGAGATCAAGTTCCTGCTGTGGTTCTCCATATTCATCGTATCAGACATTTTAAAGTAGACCAAGAAGAGGAAAGAAGCCTCCTTTGAGGTGAAATGGGGATACAGAAATCAGGCACAGAGAAATGAACCCCTTCAGGGACAGCAGCAGACCCATTGCAGAGCAGCTCCTCCCTTCCAGGGCTCCTGCAGCTGCCTTCCCTAAATCCAGTCTGAAAACCATCCCAAGCCAGCTCAGCACCGTTGTTGTCACCTTAAGGGGTCTTGAGGGATGTCCCCACTGGGGAGGCATTTGGGAAGTGAAACCCTGGCTCAGCCCAAGCCCTTGGGTGTCCTGGAAGGACACAGGAATGAGCACACTAAGATTGCATGGCTGTCCCTGGGGCAGGCAGTCACAGAATCACTGGGTTGGAAGAGACCTTCAAGACCAGCGAGTCCAGCCCAGCCCCAACCCCTCAACTCAACCCTGCCACCCAGTGCCACATCCAGGCTTTGTTAAACACCTCAGGGATGGTGACTCCACCACGTCCCTGGGCAGCCATTCCAGAATTTTATCACTCTTTCTGTGAAAAACTTTTTCCTAATATCCAACCTGTATTTCCCTTGATGCAGCTTGAGGCTGTGTGCTCTGGTTCTGTCAGTGCTGCCTGGAGAAAGAGCCCAGCCCCAGCTGAGCACAGGCACCTTTCAGTCCTCAATGCTTTACAGCCTGCCCCAGACCAGGTACGCCAGCTCCACTGTTCCTCACCTCTTTGGGAACACTTTCAGCCCAATATTTGGAAAAGAGGTAAAAAAAGAACCTGCTGGAAGGTGTCTTATATTAAATACCAGAAGATAATATCTACATCCTGACAACCCTTCTTGTACCACTTGTGTTTCAAACCACTGAACTGGTGTTTCAAACCACTGTCTTGTACCACTTGTGTTTCAAACCACTGAACTGGTGTTTCAAACCACTGTCTTGTACCACTTGTGTTTCAAACCTTTCCTTCCCACCCTGGAGCACTGGAGAAGGTATATCCATGCTTATCAGGACCTGAGCTCTACTAATATATGTGGTTTTAAAAAAAATTCTAAAAGGTGTTTTAGAAAAGTGTTTTGAGTAAATTCCTTATTCATTTTCTAGGAGGCTAAACTGCTGAATGCACTTAAATCAGAGCAACTTGATAACCTTAATTTCTAAAGAAATTCTGCTAATGCATTTAAAAAATGCAGTATATTATGAAGTCCTTGCTGCTTCTAACCCAGACAGATAAACCTTGTAATGCAGGCCACAAAACAGAGCTGATGGAGGAAAACATGCTGGAGTTATGTTCACAACTTGGAACACTGCAAGGGCTCAACAAGCATTTCAGAACAGAGTGGAAAATGGCATAAACATCCCAGACAGCAGTCCCACCCCAGTGCCAGGCATCCCTCTTAGGCACCGAGGACTAAAGAATCCCACAACCAGAACGAGACAAATGAATAAGAAACACAAAGTGAAATCAGCACAATTAATCAAGTAACTAAGACATAAAACCTTGAGACACAACAAATGTGCCATGTTGCTAAAAATGTTGTTTTGCAGATAAGTGAATAAATTTACTTCCAAGCCAGGCTTTTTTTCTTTTATTTTTTTTTTCCCTCCAGTAGCTTTAGCCTTATTGCTTCCACTGCACATTTGCTTCCCCAGGTACAGCTTAGATATGGCATCTAATTTCCCTGCTGTAGCTATACAGTTGAGGTGAGAGCTAGAGGGATGAATCATTGCATCCTGCCCATGCTTGCTGATCTTCTGGCTCTAAATGCAGAGCAAAAAACTGTGGGGAAAAAGAGAGCAGGGCTAAAATAACAGAAAGGGGAAAGAAGTATAATGGAAATGCCTCAGGACTCAGTAAAGAGGGGAGAAGCACTCAAGGTCTGAGGAGGCAATAGATGAATAAGAGGAGATGATAGAGTGTGAAATGTGTAGCTGGATGATGAGCAGAGCTAATGAAACTGAATTTCCTGAGCCTGTGTAGCTGGGCTCTCTGGTGCCTAATAGTGTGATCTGGGATCGAACGTTTCCCTGCAGCTGGAGTATTCCCAGTGTCTCTCCCTTGTGTGGTTTCTATTTAGAGGGCTGTTCATGGTGCAATAATTTGGAGATAGGATCCAGGGAGATGCAGATAAACAATAATTTAGCCTTTTTCCTCAGGAAAAAAAAAAAAAAGGAAAAAAAAAAGATAAACATGTTGTGGTCACAATGAAATGGGACTGGAAGGAAGATGCAAAATGGCAACAAAATTGGAGTAAAAAAGAAGGCCTTTCACCTAAATCTTCAAAGCTGTGCTTTGAAATGACTGAATGGGAGGGGGAAATGACTAATGACTAAATGACTAATGGGAGAGGGAAAAAACCTCTGGTTGGAGACATTGAAGAGTGGCTGAGACAAGCTGATCGCTGTTGCCTGAGCAGAGATGGCTCAGATGTAAAGAGATTGCGTCTGTGTGATGGAAAGAAACAGGGATTTTGGTCAGGTGGAAGAGAGGTGGGTGGAAGAAATTCATTACTGTGTCTGGAAACTGCTGAGGCTGGACTGTAAATTGGGGTGAGGTGAAACAAATGAGGAGCTGTTCCTCCATTATTCCCCACTCCCTTAAATATGAAGGCAACAGGGAGGAGGTGTGGGTTTCCTCTGGGATGGCCCGGAGCCCTTTGCTCCCCCATGTCCCCATCATGTCCACACCCCTCACTCCTGGCCACCATCCCCTCACCTCTGTGGTCAGCCCCCAGTCTGGGATGTGACTTTGTGCCTAAAAACAAAGATGGAAAATCCACTCTAAATGAGTCCTCCCATGGAAAGTGATGAATTCAGCTCACCCAACTCAAAATGTTTATAGTGGGCCCTGGCTCTGTAAAGGGTAACAAATGTGAAATCATTATAAACTTGGTTGAGGTTACTACTGTAAACCTGCTGGCTGGCAATCGAGGTCTGATCAGTTATTTTAAAACATTTTAGCTGTGTGCTCATTAATATAATGGAAATGTGGAACAAAAAGAGAAATGAGAATTACAAAAGGTGAAGTAATTAGCAGGTTTATTGCAGACACTGTCAGGTTTCTCATGTCCCCTGATTTAAGTTAAAAAAAAGGAAAGAAAAAGTACTAGCACAGATGCATTGCTCATAACATGTATTCAAAGTTGCTAGTCCAAACAGCATAATTTTTAAGTCTAAGCATTCCCTATACAGCAATGTTAGAGCTGAATGCTTTTTATGGATGCACTTCATTCGTAGAGTTGTGTGATTATGCACGTGGGATCTGATTCACAGGATTTCTTCTTCCTTGATAAGGAAGGTAAGATAAAAGCCTAAAAACGTTTGTGCTGTTTAAAAATACTCATGAAACATAAAACTTCAGGTTCAGAAAAGCCACAGAAAGAAGAAAAAATGGAGTTTCTGTAGCTTTTGAAATTTCTACTGTGCAGAGTTGTAGTGTTTAAGGCTCATAAAATAGATTAAGAATCCAGTGACACACAAGGGTGGATTTTTTTTTTCTCTGCTCTCTATTTGGTGATATATCAATAGGTCTTCTAGGCAGAAGAAAAGTCTTGCTGACTGCATCAAAGATTCCTCACTAGGAACAGACCTTAAAAAAAAAAAAAAAAGTAGGCCTACTTGAAAAACGTTCTCCAGGTAACTTTAGCAGAGATTTTGCTTCTTCACTAAAAATTTGTAGCCCTGCAACAAATCTATTTTTTTTTTCCTGAAAAACAAGCAAGGAAAGAAAGCAGTTGTGTTTGGTTAAAATTTGAGTTGTCTGAGAAACAGGCTGCAGTTATCTGTGTAGAGACATAGCCCAGGTAGGAAGCACAGATTAAATAAAAGGACACAAAGTGTTGAGACCGCGCTGCTCAAGAGAAATTGAAATTAAAAATCTCAAATCAAAATGTTTTGCTTTTCAACTCCAAAATACCAAGTCTTAAATACCTCAATTTCTAAAAATTCCAGGTAGTCAAAGGTAGTCAGGGGAGGGCTTTGGAGAGAGGTTGGGAGAAGCAGCAAAACGTTGACCTCCAGCATGGACAACCTTTGGATGGGAACACTCACAGCCCTGGGTGAGGTGGCTCCTTCACATCCCTCTGAGAGCAGAAGAGAAAATAAGCACTGGCGTCATGTGCTCTTGCAGATATTTTCTAGTCAAAAACTGGGCTGCTACATTATTTTCTGAAATTCTGTCTTTTATTGCTCTGGAATAGCTACAGGGCTCCTCCTCCTTGGAAGAGAAGCCACCCCACATCTGTGCGCTCAAGGCCAAGGTGTGGATGGCCACTGATCACCTGGGGAGGCTCTGGAAGCAAGCAGTAAATGACAACAGGAAAAGCCAGTGATTTGGGAATTGGAGAAAAGATGTACTGGGCAGGGAAGGTCACCAATGTTTCCTACCAATCTGTTTGTGTTTATATCACAGCGTTTCCTGCTGCTGACTGGCTTCACTTTCCCTAGGTGATTTCAAGCAGGCACTTGTTACAGATCATACACCAGCAGCAGCTTGTGTTTGGACTTGGAACCCTCTAAAAAGCTCCTGTTAAACCCTTGGGGAGGCACTTACCTCTGGTAGCTGTGTCCTTCATAAAGCAAAATCATTGTTGGTAGATTTGCATGTTCCCATACCCAATAACTCTGAGTTAGTGGCATATTTACAGCATCTATCATAGCATTAAGAACAGGTTTCTGCCATGCCGTAGTGATGGAGAACATTTTGTGGCACTCTGGAATTGAATTCCCCTGTTCTGAACATTCCCCCTGGCTTTGGACACCTCCATGCTTACTTCCTGGAAAACACATTAATTTTGGAGGCCTATTTGTTTTAATACCTTCAACTGCCCACGTCATTCCTGGGAAAGGATGGAGCTGTGACATGCTGGCACATTAGTGCAAAAGTCAGGATAATGCAGGACCTAGGTGAAAGCAAGGAGCGTCACTAACACTTGGGTCAGTGAAGAGGAAGGAGCAGCCTGAGGAAAAACAACAGTTTTGTTCTCTGCAACATTAAAAAAAAAAAAAAGATTAAAAAAATCAACCGAAAGTTGAGGGAATTTAGTCCTGAATGTAACCAGGATTTTGCTCCTCCCCTGCCTGTAATTTTGAAACAATTTACTTTTAATATTACCTAGATATTAATGTTTTAGATTGGGTACTCTTCATGGTCTAAAACTGCTTTTCATAAATGTTTTAATGGGTCCAGGCCCAATCCCACTGAGGTCAATTAGAAGATTCCAAATAAATCTTTCCTTCTTGTCCTTCCATTAGCATGCAGCCTGTAAGAGGGCTGACGCTGGTCTGTGCTTTTATCTTAAAATAATCCAGAAGACAATTCTCCTATGGGAAGAAACCATGCAATTTGTGGGTGGTACTTACAGGGATGTTACCCAGGTAAAAACAATTATTTTTAATTTAGAGCCCAATTTTCAGGCATGCCTAACACAATTCTACCTGAAGTTAAATATAGACTTAGGTGGTCAATACTTTGGGAAAACCAGAGCCATAATTTTTAACATATCTCATTTTATCTCAGGCTTGTATTGTCCAGAATTAGGTTTAAAGTGGTTTGGAAGTGCAATTTCAATGTGTTCTATCTGTAAGTATTACAACAAAATAAAGTGGTATATTATGATAAAGTGTGTTCTGTTTTATTTATTTCTTAACTTCATGCCTGTATCTGACTTGCATTAATTTTTAACCAGACCCCAACTTTAAATAAAAACAAGCATCTTTCTTCCCAACAAGAATCTAGTAGGCCTTGATAGGATATGCCATAAAAAGATAGAGGATGAGCTGTAAAATACTTTTCGAAATATTGATTTTTTTTTTTGTTTGTTCATGTTCTGGGTGCTGAACTGGATAAATACTGCTATGGCTTGGTTCAAAATTCTGTTGTACCTCTGAACTTGGAGTATGATCTAGGGCAAATGTTTATTGGATAAAGCCCTGAGTCTTTGTGCTGTACCTTTGGGCTCTGAGCCCCAAAGGTCTGGTGGTAATCATAACTAGTTTGAGAATACTCCTTTATGCTCTTTAAATGCAATTTTTATAAGTACTTTTTGACATGCTTTAACTGCGGAGTCTCACATTTTTTCCTGGATGTTTTAAGAAATCAGAAATTATTTCTGGTATTTGAAACCATTTGAAATTGTGCTGAAAACAGTTCTTACAGAGATGTTTCAGCTGAATTAATTACAATACAATCAAGCTGTGGCATGTGGGACCAGAAACATCTGGTGCTAACCTTGGCTGATCTTCCTGTAGATTGCATTCATTAGTTTGAATAGTTTTCTCAATGTTTTGATGTAATCATTTTGCCCTTTTTCAATTTATGTACTTGTGGTGGCTTTGACCATCTTGACAAAACAAATCTCACACTTGGGTCAAGGACTCTGGAACCATCAGCTTTCAGTGAGAAATTACTTCTGGACTCATTATATGTTTATTGTCTAAGGGTCCTTGTAATAGGGGTTCTGTTTTGCACATTAGAATTGTACATCATTAGCTTTCTAAATTCCAGCTGAAACTATTACATCTTCCTCCAAGAAGAGAACTTGAAACAACAAAAGAAATAAGAAATCAAGCTGCACTCTTCTTTTCATTGTCTTTTTGTTATGTTACCCATATATGCATATATGTACTGAGGAAATTTAATGGCCAAATAGCATCAAGAAAATTCTGCCTTCTTAAAAGCAAATTTAAAAATCATCACTCTGTGAAGCTGAACCAACAAAAGAGCACTGGGAAAAATCCACATAGCCCAATACCTACATTTTCTCTTTTATTGTTGGCTGCCCTGTGCATCAGCAAAATGTCACCTCTGCAATTTAGTAGCGTTCTCTGTCCAACCTGATGAGGAGAAAAGCATGAGAAAATATGCAAACAAAAGGCAAACTGCTTTAGATGCTGATGTCTTCTGAGTGCCAAAGTACTTCTGGTGTTTCAAATTTTATAAACTTACAGCTCTCAGGCTTAGACAATATGAACATTGAAAACAAAGACATCATGCACATAAACAAACCAAGCCTCAACTTTCTAACAAAATTAAAAGTCCTGACATTTGCTGGAAGAATTATTTTCAGTTGATACTGCCACTCAGACAGCGAGGAGCAGCTTTGTTGTACTGTTCTTGTCTTCTGAAACTGCACTTTTGTGTCTGCTTCTCCTGAAGCACGAAACCATCTCGACTTGGGCAGGCTCCAGCTGCAGCACAAACAGCCACTTTCCAAAGGAGAAATCCTGTGATATGGGCCCATTTGGGAGGTGTCTCTGGCCTCCCTGCTTTCCTCATGTGTGTCAGGTTTACTGCACAGTGAATTATTCCATGCAGGAGGAGCCCAGCTCCGGGATCCCCATGACAGCTTCCTCCTGGTGCCGAATCCATTCACTCCTGTGGCTCTACTGATCACCTGCTGCCCTTCCCTTTCTTCCCTGGCACAAAACCCAACAGCTGGCCACCAAATTGGATGGTAGAGGTTCTAAAAGCCTATAACAAATATTACAACCTGTTTGCAGTAGGTATCACATGGAACGTTCCTTCTGCTTTCTATAGGCAATTGGAAGGGGAGGGATTCTGGTTTTGTATAGAAAATCTATACAAATGTTGCCTCCTCTGCCAAAGAATTCTTTTTTTCTTATATGTTCAGGTCTTAAATTTCTGTCTACCCAGATTTATGACACACTGTATTCATTGTAAATTATAGGGGTTTTGCTTAGTTGCAGGTAGCTACGGGGTTTTAAAAATGAGTAAAATTTGATTACTGATGCACAGCTTAAATAAGGTAAAAAAGTCTATAAAATCCCTTTGACCTTCAGGGAATCCACAAATACATCAAACTTGTTTCACATGTGGTTTTACAGATACCAGGGGCATATGCATTTTAAATTATACAGTCAGTCCAGGAGAAGACTGGTTTTCCCCGCCTTTCATATACATCCATACATATATTAAGGATCTCCTGAACCCATAAAGAAATATTTGTACTTAATAAACATAGGCCCGATTCTCTCAGTTTCACTGGTGTAATTTCACTGCCTGTCACTGAACTACTGCTGCATCAGGTCTATGGAAATGATAAAGCCAGCACTTCTGCTGATCACAGTATGTAGCCTAGAGATACGAGAGAGACTTTACTTAAAAGTCTCATGGCAGTTGCATTAAATCCTGGTGCAAAACTGAGAGTTAACATTGTAAGAAATGTGCATTATAAATAGTTGATGAAGAACATTTTTTTTTTCCTGTTTCAGCTACTGGTATTCAAGGCCTCATATAATTTGTGAGTTTCAACATAAAATTCCCAAATAAGGTGTTAATATTTCCCTGGGGATTTTATGTATTTATGTATATGAAGCCTGTTTTCTTTAGCTGTATTTGAAAGCCATTTCACAGTACAATGAGGTCCTAATTTTTATAGCAAATCAAAGCTGTGCCTTCCATGTAATCAGCTCTTTGCTATATAGCAGAAAAAAGCAATGCCTTATGAAAAATTAAGTTGTATTTATTTTTTATATAGTATTCAGAATATTAGGCATATGAATCACAAAAACCTGAATCTAATTAAATTATCAGTTCCTACGGCAAGTTCTGAATCTTCTACAAATATATCTGTAATTGTGTTAAACATATCCCTGCTTAGGAATTTCCCAAGCTAAAGCTTTTGATGTTGCCTGCTGAATTCTTTGCGGAAATTACAACAATCCAAATACTAACAGGGCAACTGAAACCACTCTGTTGGTTAAACAACAGTATTTTTAAGTGATAAATTCTGACTCTCAAAGTCGTGCTCCTGTCTGCCTACCAAGTATTTGCAGACATGGCAGGGTTTTCTGCTCTCACTGGGCTCGTGTCTGGCACAGAACTGTGCAGCAACAGGGAACAAACTCATCAAAAACCCGTGCAGGTTTTTATGTGTGCTTGTCAGCCTGCATTTTTTTTTTGCCTAGACCAGCGGGATTTGGTGTTAAGAAGGTGTGTTTGGAAGCTGAAGAGCTTGTTCTCCAGGCCCATTAATCATGGCTGGGTGTGCAGCAGGTCTCACACAACTCTCACCCGTGCTGCTCTCCAGGCTGTGTCCTCACCTGCTGCTCCAAGCACTTGGACTTCCCTTCTGGAGTCCACCTGGCATCCAGGAGAACTCTGCATTCTAACAAAGCTACCCGCCTGGACTGTCCCAGAACTGATTTTTTACGTCTAAATGGAGAGGGGAAATGTCTTCTAAAGCTACTGCTCTCTCTTTTCCCCTGGCTAAACGTCAGAGCTAATTTCAACAGAGTTCCTATCCTTAGGTCTGTGTTCAGCTTCGCAATTTGCTTCCCTTTGCAGTGTTGAACCAATGGTAGGAGAGGTCCAGCTACAGAAGAAAAGAAAAAAATAATCTTCACTAATTTCAAATTCTTGAAGTCATTCCCTTTGTACTCAGATAAAATTTCCAAATGGAAAGTACATTCCAGTCATAGATATAACCTGAACATAAAACCTGGTGAGTAACAGCAGCAAATAATCCTCAGACAAACATGCAAGTACAGGCCATGCCTGCACAATAAATGGTGCAGATTCAGATCCCATGGACACAATTAAAAGAGGCTTCATTTGTAAAGGTAAT